AAGAAGAAGATCAGGTAGAACAGACTCCTGTTGAGGCCACTTCTCCCGTTAAAAGAAAGAGAAAAGAAACTGCCCAGTCTATGACTCCAGGTATTCTTTGACAGTTTCCTTTTTGAATTCTTCATAATCTTGTTCTGTCAAACTTATTTTTTGTCTGTTGCAGTTGGAAGTCCTTCTCCTCCTCTTACTAAGTCAAAAAGACTTAGAAAGAAGATTGTAGAAGAATATGTGGCCCCGGAGGGAACTAGGGCAGTTCCTACCACCACTTCTGGCACGGATGATGACCTGAGAGAGGCTTTCGAAGCTGTGGAGCAAGAAAGGGAGCTGGAAGAGCTGGAAGAGGTAGGAGATGAGCCTCAAGAGAAGGCCAAAATAGTGGAAGAAGAGGTGAGTTTTATATACTTGGCAGTATTTGTTTCTGCTGCACTCTTATTTCCCTGCTCTGACTTCTGTGCATCCATAGGAGGAAATTCCTACCGAGGTGATAGCGGAGAGTATTGCCTTGGCTCGGAAGCAGCAGGAAGATATAGGGGCAGGGCTAACCACCTCAGAGGTGGCCCTTTTTGATGATCCAGAGGCAGAACATTCCACTGCCGCTCCAACAGCTGAGGATCAGGCAGAGCAAATCGGATCAGAGCCTGGGGAACAATAAGAAGAAGTGGTTCCTGCTCCTGAAACCATAGTAGAAGTGGCTGCTGCCGTTCCTGGCTTCATGGTGAGTTCTGCCTTTACTCTGTCTTTTCCTGTCTTAGGTGGTTCTGTCCTGTTCCTCCATCTCTTTTTGACCCTCAAATATTTATAGGCAGAAACATCGAAAACTGCTGGGATCTTGGCAGTGAGGACCATCCCCTCGCAGCCTCCGATTGTTGCTGTGAGTGCTTTTGTACTTTTTGTTTTCTTCTTTTCTGTTTCTGCCTTGTTTTGACTTATGCTTCCTTCTACAGATGCCTATACATTCCCTTGCAAGTTCATCTGCCATGGCCTTTTTTGCTGATCCGGAGCTGGCAGAATTTGAAGCTATGGACCTAGATGCCCAGCTGGATAAGTTGGAAAAGCTCAGCTCTCCTGTTGGTAAGATAAAGTCCAGGGCAGTGGAAGAAGCAATGGAGAGACTGAAGATCTGGCAGTCTGCTGAATTGGAGCTGGATGAGGACAGAGAGGCCTTTGATCAG